GCCCATGTAGGACGCCGTCCAGCCACACTGCCACCTCCCGGGGTCCGATCGTGGCTTGCCACCCCTCGCGACCCTTGGCGGCAGCGTCTATGCCCCTGGACCGCCAGGCGCAGGAAGAATCAAGCAGCGGCGTGGCAGTGTGGCGTGTGGGCCGGGGCCGCAGCCCCGACCCCGCCGCCGTCCTGGCGCACGAGCTGCAGTCTGACGTGGCGGCGCTGAGCTGGCGGCCCGTGGGCGGCCGAGACCTGGCCGTGGGCTGCGGCACGGGGGTGGCGCTCTGGCGCGTCCCCCCGGACCCGGGCGCGGGCGCGCTGGCGGTGGAGGGCCCCGTGCTGACCTGGCTGGCCCCCGCCCCCGCCCTGGCGGGTACTGGCCAGGTCAACATGCTGACCTGGCACCCCGAGGGCCACCTGCTGGCGGGGGTCTGCCGGGGCGTGGCGGGGATCCAGGTCTGGGACGTCGCCACCGGCCGTGCGACGCCCGTCAGGGTGAGGCGGTCTTGTTGGTCTCCTGGTTTTGTCAAAATGGGGGTTTGATTTGGTGGTATTGCTGTGTGCATGCTCAGGATCGTATAGGAGGTTTGGTGAGGCAGGCTTTCAGAAGCAGGCTGGGCATGCACCGAGGCTTTTCTTAACCCCCGACCATGGAATGGCATCCTGTCCTCTACACCGGCAAGTATCTCAGGGAGCTGTCCAGTCCACCAGACCCACCAGCACCTCCTCCCCACCGCCCCAACCCACAGGCAACCAGCGACCCCACCACCGCACTGGCCTGGTCCCCCTGCGGCGCCTACCTCTTCCAGGGCCACGCCTCGGGCACGCTGCGGCTGTGGGAGACCACGGCTTGGACCAGCCAGGCGTGGGCCTACGGTGGCAGCCACAGCGTGCACAGCGCAAGAGCGGGACCGGGGCCGTCCCTCGTGGTGGCGGCGGCCTGGGCGCCTGCGCGCCTGTCCGCCCAGGGTCTCGTGCTCGTGGCCCATGCCGAGGCGCCCGGCTCCCTGACCGCCCTGCACATGACGGGCGCCAGCGCCCCCAGCCTGGAGGCGCAGCCCATGCCAGTCTCCCTGGCATGGCCGGCAGGTGTGTGAGAGTGAGGTGGTGAGGGGAACGGAGGCGGGGTGGGAGTGTGAGGGGAACGGAGGCGGGGTGGGAGTGTGAGGGGAACAGAGGCGGGGTGGGAGTGTGAGGGGAACGGAGGCGGGGTGGGAGTGTGAGGTGATGCAACGGGTGCTCCTTGGAGGGACTGCAGGAGTGGGGTATGATGAGTGGTGTGGCACCGGAGGGACATGCATGCCCCCATTCCCCTCACTTTATTAAACCTACATCCAGGACAGTATCGGTCAAACAAGCAGCTTGCAGCACCCTGACTCACTCCGCGCACCATGTACAAGATCGCAGATGGAAAGGAGGAGGTGACAGGCATGGCGTGGAACCCCGATGGCCAGCGCCTTGCCGTCAGCCTAGCGGCCGCGGGCCGGCCAGCCACGATTGTGCTGTACGCCATCTGCTGCGACCCCCTGGTCACCACCAGGGTCGTGGGGGAGGTGCCGAGCGAGACAGAGGACGACGCCACTCCTACCAGCGTGGCCTTTGTGGGACTCAAAGGGTCCGGCCCGAATCACCCCCTCCTCGCCATTGCCAGGTCCTCCCGCATCGCTCTCATCCCCCTGGAATACGCCTGAAACCCCGCGCTCAGCGTAGTGAATTGGAAGAGGATCTACACAGACCCAGACGATGCTTCATGACCTCATCTCTGCAAAGACAGCAGTCCACTCAGAGGCTATGCCCTAGAACTGGCGGCCGGCATGTGGGCCCCCCCATGAAGCTGCCGGGCACCTCGTGCATGAAGCAATGGAGGCGCATATGCTTATTAGGTCGGGCGCACACAGCGAACCAGGCTGCATTTGAATATAATACTGAAGGTTGTGCCGTCATATTGTCCTGTGCTGAGCCACCTCGAGGTGTAGGGGGAGTGCTCCTCCCATGGCACCGCCCCGCAAGACCGTGGGTTTTGTCGCCGTGCCTGGCGAGGACGAGGACGGCGCCGGCCAGTCCGCCTTCTCATCGCCTTTCCAGACCACAGGGGCACAGGAATCTGGTGAACCCGTAAAAAAGGCCGGGGGCGTGCTACGCGACAAGCATGGTTGGTACAGGGAGGGGGGTGACAAGGGTTTCGGGTGTGGGTGGCAGGGGTTCGACTGATATGCCTCGCCTCTGGGTTGTGCGTGGCGCGGGCCGCACCGGGGTGGTAGAAATCCTTGTTCATCCAGGGTTTGCCCGTCCTGACTGGACCCAGGGGCGTCTACAGCCCCAGGCTTGGCCATGCTCCTCGTTGTTAACCCTCGACCCCCCTCCCTGTCACCCCCTCCCTGTCACCCCTCCCCCCTCTTCAAAGGCAACCTGCGCACCTGGACCGACCAGCGGGCCCGCACCACGGTGGTGGTCAACCTGGCGGGCATCCTGGAGCGCTGCAATGAGCAGACCCTGCCGGCCCTTTACCGCTACGTGGGCAAGTCCTTCAAGGCCTCCCCCCGCCAGCTGGGCTACATAACGCTGGCCTGCGCGCTGATGCAGGCAGTTTGCGCGCCGCTGGGCGGCGTGCTGGGCCACCTGTACAACCGCGTCTACGTCATGAGCGCCGGCGCCTTCATCTGGGGCGTCATGTCCATCGCCTTTGCCTTCACCACCAATGTCAAGCAGGTTTGCTGGGTGTGTGTTTGTGTGTGGGGGGGTTGTTTTGGGTCTCTGTTGTTTCGAGGTAGGGGAGAAGGATGAGGAGGGATGATGGGTGTGTCTCCGAGGGCCAAACCTAGCCTTGCATGGGTGGGCGGGAGGGCGGCTGGCACGCGATCGCTGTTTCGTTGGGGGAAATCACCGCGGATATCATCATCTTGAGGTCGGTCATCGCCAAACGTGCCTGTACTGCGGCTGCCAAATGCATGTCCGCGCCTTCCAAGTTTGCTCCACACCACACCACACCACACCACACCACACCACACCACATCACATCACATCACATCCATCTCTCTCCCACCCACCCCTACAACACACTTACACACACACCTGCCCCCCCCCTCCCCCAATAACAATATAGGGCATCGCGGTGTGGGCCTGGAACGGCTTGGGCCTGGGCCTACTCATCCCCAACGCCCAGTCGCTGATCGCCGACTACTTCAGCGAGCTGTCGCGCGGCAAGGCCTTTGGCGCGCTCTACCTCACCGGCGCGCTGGGCGGCACGCTGGGCACGCTGTTCGCCACCAACATGGGCCACACCCGGCCCTTTGGCCTGGACGGCTGGCAGGTGACCTTCATCGCCGTGGGCACGGTCAGCCTGGCCATCGGCGTGCTCAACCTCTTCGCCTCCGTGGACCCGCGCTTCGAGGCGGAGGAGCCCGAGTACGCGCAGGCGCCGGACCTGCTGGCGCAGGACGGCAGCGCCGCGCGCGCCTTTGCCGACGTCGCCGCCGTGCTGTCCGTCCCCTCCTTTGTCATCGTGGTGGTGCAGGGCATCGTGGGGTCGGCGCCCTGGAATGCCCTGGTCTTCACCACCCTCTACCTCCAGCTCATGGGCATGACCGACTTCCAGGCCTCCCTCATCGCCGCCCTCTTCCTGGGCGGCACCGCACTGGGCGGGCAGGTGGGCGGCTGGTTCGGCGACCTGGCCGCCGCACGCTCGCCCAGGCACGGCCGCATCCTGATCGCCCAGTTCTCTGTCGGCATCGGCGTGCCCCTCGCCTTTGCCATCTTCAAGGTATTTGAGGGGGATGGTTCCTTGTTTCGAGCGGTGGTTTGGGAACTCAAGGCATGGCTGGTGGGGCTGGGATAGTCTGGCATGGAGTCCAGAGTTTGCTTGTGTTTTTGTGATGATGCCAAGGGACGAAAGCTGCCGTAGTGTATGGGGAGATGGAGCGCTGGCACGGTGGGGCAAGGGGTGTGCGCCGTGCCAAGGGGGGGACCTGTGCTGTGCATGGGGCATCACATCTGCCCATACATCACCCCGTCGCTTGCCTGGTCCAGGCTCCTATCCCCCCATTCCACACACTCGCTTTGGCCTCCCTTGCAGCTGCTGCCCATGGGCAACTCCAACCTGCTGGTCTGGATCTACAGCATCTGCTTCTTCTCCTGGGGCCTCATGATCTCCTGGGTGGCGCCCGCCTGCAACAGCCCCATCTTTGCCGAAGTGGTGGGTGGGGCTTCTGAAAGGCCCCTGGATGTCTTGGAGAGTGGGGTTGGAAGATGCATCAGCAGATGTGGACTGGCGCCTGACTCACCTGCTCTGTACTTGGCTGCGTGGTAGCAGGGGAATTACATGGATGTTTCGCAGCACATGGCCACTACACAGCCTTGGGTCATCATTCGCCTCCCCATTCCTCCCTACAGGTCCCCTCCCAGCTGCGCGCCATCGTCTACTCCTTTGACCGCGCCTTTGAGGGTGAGTCCCTGGCTCCGTACTCGAGGTCTTTCGTCCGCATGCCTCTCCTTCTGGGGAATGAAATGTTGCTGCCACTGTTGCCCCCCCCTGGAATAGTGGGGTTGGTCTGATGAGCGGCAGCGCCCACCGCCCAAACACTC